GTAGAGACCCTCCCCCTACCCCCAAAAACGTGACATCATTTGTGAATGTTTCCAATTTTATTTCACCGCTTGTGAGAAAGATTCAAATTAATAACCTATGTCTAAAATAAAAAATGCTAGCTATTTTATATTTTCTTTTTGTATGATTTAAAATCGTTATAAGTAAATATAATCGTTATAAGTATAAATATGTTTAAAAAAAACAATGTGAGAGATTTTCATTTGCTATAGGGTCCTTAAATAAGTATATTTGAATGTTAAACGTTCAATTTACATTGTTCTCGAACTTTTACAAATTTATTGGAAAATTTGGTAAAATATAAAAAATAAATTTTCTCCGTGCACCTATGATTCAATTTTTCTCTATAACTTCACTGTACAGTTCTTTAATCGTTTGGAAATAACATCAGAGTTCGACTGTAGCACCTATATAGGCACACGCGGTACTTAATATAACAAAGACGTATTGTGGTCACTCTATACCTGCTCAGCAGGCCAATAAAGTGATCATTATTACCCTAGAGTAATAAACAATTTATTGGCCTCCTCGCAGGTGAATAAAGTGTGTCTATTATTACGAAATTGTAATTATGGGTATAGTTATATCATATCAAGAGTGTAAAATTTAATTTCAACAGTTCGACGTTTTAAAATCTTTACACTGGAATTTTTATTTATATACTTTTATAGATATTTAAATATGAATAATCTTTCTTTAAACATTTTAAAACAAATCCTTTAGAGAAAATGGCAAAGGACTTGTATATATTTATTTTTCAAAGAGATATTCGATGCGTTTAAATATATCTAAAGGGAAATAAAAATCCCCATATAAAAAGTTACTTAAAATTCAAAGAATTCTAATATTTTTAATTATTATTTCATTTTTAGATTTTATATTTAGTTTCAAATTTCAAATTGAATATTTCAATAAAAGTAAATATATATTTTTTTATAAGTCAAAGATCAATAATAATGCTAAATGGTTAGTTTATTAGTAACTAGCTCCTCCGACGGCCGCAAGCGGCCGTCTACGGTGCTAGTTTTTATATGTCCATTGTCCAAGTCCATTATTTCATTAATAATAATATTCAAATTTTTTCAGTTAATAATTTGCTTATTTATATTTGAAATGTTGACGTTTTTTTGACAATGCAAAATAAGATTTATTAGAAGTACTTTCTCTTAACAAAAATAAAATTTATATATTCGCGCTCTTTTTAAATAACATACGACTGCAGCGCCACCATCACATGTACAAACAATTTTAAAAACACCCTTCTATTAAGATTTTACATTCTCATTGCCCATTCTTTACTTCGATACTTTTCGATACATTCGACCTTTCCACTCCATGTCTTTTTTAAGAAAGGATTATAAAAAATCTAAGTGTTTTGACTAATAAAAATAATAATATAGGATCCACATTAAAGAGGATGCTCTCATTCTAGTCAGTATGGGACTCAGCACTAGACTTGTTTTAGAGTCAGACAAGAGCGACTATCAATATGTTCAGTCTGCGCTTTGTTCTGCCTACAAGTGGGCATATGGACAAAAACGTGTTAAGCCTACTGACGTGCTTTTAATTAACATAAAACCGCAGTAGCAAAAAGTATCTTTAAGACTGAAAAAAGTAGTAAAATGTATATAGCTATCGAAAAATTAAATTTAACCCTTAAAAATTTTATGTTAGTATTGATTAATAAACATTTGATTCTATTCTTTTCTAATAACTTTTCCCTGATTTCCATAAAAAATATTTACTTTCTTTCTTATCTAAAACTTCTATTCTAATAATTATTCTAAAAATTTAATTATTTCCCAAATAGTTAGAATTAAAAATTTTATAAATATATAAGTGAATTCTTTCGAAGAATTTTAATTCAATTTTTAAAAATATAGTTATATTTTTTGAGGAATTTATTTCAAATTTTGTATTAAAACTAATGGAAATCCTGCGAATAATTTTATTATTTATAAAAATTATTGAATTTTTGCAAAATTTATAAACCGATATTTTTAATTATATATATCAAGAAAAAAATTTAAATATTCCACAAAATTATTTTTAAGTTAATTTTTTATGAGGAATTCAATGGTAAAAAAATAAAACCGATCAGAAAATATTTTGCACCTTTTTTAAATTTTTATTTTACTTAAAAATCGTTTTTAACTATATATATATATATAACTTCAGACCATAATTTTACCGTATTTTTAAAATATTTTTTATTTTTTATAATGTAAAAATTATGATCTAAATTTAGTTGAAAAAATAAACAAATGAATTTTCATATAAAAAATTGAATAAAAATGGAATTTTTTAGCATTTACATAAAAACATAAAGATTTTTATTAAAAAAAAATGTTTCAAAAATTATCAAAATCAATTTTTTCATTTAGAATTTTTTCTGGATTCAAAAACATATATATTTTCTACAAAATTATACTCATGGATTTCATAATCTACCAATTTTTAAGTAAAATAAAAATTCCAAAAGGGGCAAAATATTTTTTTACCAGTTTTATTTTTTAACCGCATATTGAATTCCTCACAAAAAATTATTTTAAAAATATAATTTTGTGGAATATTTAAATTAATTTTAAGGGGAAGGTATACATCGATATTTTTAATTATAAAGTTAAAAATATTGATGTACCTTTTTAACATCTTTTTAAAAATAATTAAATTTCTCTGAATAATTTTAATATTTGTGAAAATAACTGAATTCTTACAAACAATTTTATTAAAATTTTAATTTTTTTAAAAAATTAAAAATTTTTTTTAATTTTTTGAACTATTTCTAAAATTTTATTAAACTGTTAAAACGTTTTGAATTGTTTTTAAGAATTAAATTAAATTTTTTTTGTAATCGTTTTTAAGATTTTTATTAAAATTTTTAAAAATAATGTTTTATTTCAACTACATAACAGAAATTTTAAGGTATTAATGCTAATTTTGAAAAAGAAGAAAAAAGTTGCTTTTAGTGCTACAAATTTAAAAAAAAGTATCCAAATAGTATATATATATAGCAAATCGTTAAAAAATAATAAATATAGTATAGGTTTTAGTAGCTATACGAGTACGAATTCTGAGATATTTGAAATTAAAAAAAATTGACAATTTCTAACTAACTATACAGTATAATTAATTAAAAAAACTCTTCTACAATATTAATATTTCTTAATCAGTCTTCTTCGACTGATTAAAATTTTCTTTCTCAATTTCTGTATAACTTACGTTCGACAATCTTGTTAGCTGCGTTCGTGCGATGTTGCCACGTCTCCACAGTTGCGCTACCGGCTACACTTCGTTTCACAATCGCAGTCCTTCCCGAAAGATCATTTTTTGATCCAGAAGTAGATCGCAAGCTGCAATTTTTTTTCGTTGACATCAATAATCATTTTTCTTTTATTTATTAGTGTTGTTTCTAATATTTATTACTTACTTTTTTTATTATTTATTATTTACTTATTTAGTGACGAGAAATTGCTATATACATATATATTAAAGAAAAAATAGAATAAAAACACAAAGTGTTTCTTACTATTTTTAAATAGTAAATATCAAATATCAATAAATGAAAAATATTAAATTTATTACTAAAATTTTGCCGAGTGATAGTTTCAATCAATACTAATTACTAATTATTAAATATTATTTATTAAGTAATAAGTAGTAAATTATTATAAATAGTATTTATATTAAGTTATGTTCTAAGTGCGGAGAAACAAAAATTCAACTAATTTGAATTAATGACTAACTTTTTGCTATTAAATTAGCAAAGTTTACTTATAAATTAGTAGAAATTACTGTTTATTAGTAAAATTCACTAATTTACTAATTCAAATTTAGATAGTTAATTTCAAATTAGCAATCAGTTTTTTTAAAGATGGAAAAATTGAGACAAAAAACGAATCAAAACATTGCTTCACAATTTTAATTCTTTTTTTGCTTCGTTTTTTATCTCCATATTTGATATCTGCAGAAAAAACTGTAAAATAATAATCGTAAAAATTGGGATGAAACTTGTACCCACGTGGATTTGGATAAACTAATATATTTGTTTTAGTCTCTCTATTACTGATTTGAAAATGTAAAAGAAGAGAATTTGTCCGCATGAATAACCTAGTGTTGTTTTCCAAAACAAATAAACATCATATAAAGTGAATCATACAGTTTTATTAGAAAAAGAATTTTTTGGAAAAACTGAAGACTAAGTAAACATTCTACTTGAGTATATAAAAGTTTTTAAAAATGTATTTTTTCGTTAAAAAAGGAAAGTTTTAGTGAAATATGATCAAAAATTGTAAGAGATAGCATCGCTCGCGAGCCCCATGAAGAGTATTTGCCTTTTCAATTATCAAAAGTCCTCTTAAAGTCTTAGATGATAATAATAAAAACTATTCTCAAAACTGACCTAATGTAAATATATAATGTTTTTCATAAGCTCATCTACCCTTTTTCGCACTTTTTCTCTCTCTCTCTCTCTCTCTCTCTCCCTTCCTCAACTTTGTTGCACACACTGTATGTATGTATATAGCTTATTCCCTTATTCGTTTTACTCCGCCTCTCTCTTCTGCTGGGTGTTCTCTTTAGCCAGCAGATCGTCCTTCGTTCGTTGCATGCCTATTGACGAATGAAACACTATCGCTAGTGAAAATACGCGTTACGTTTATTTGACTTGCGTATAGCCTCACTAGAAGTTAAGTTTCATGGATAAACCGGCTGAGCCTACAGACCCTAGCCTGCCTTTTAGCACGCGCCCTATATACATAAAGGTATTAAAAACAGTTTGGTTTCAAGAGTTATCCACTCATAAAATAAGAAAGCAAAAGAAATTAAATATTTTAACACCTCCTTCTAATCTTCGAACGAGATGTTTCTTGTTTATATTCACATTCATTTTTCAATATTTAATCATTTCTTTTCATTTTCCATCATCATCTGAAGAATATTAAAAAAAAAAATTCTCGATATCGTTGAAACTATTGTTTATTTTAATGTTTGTTAATTTACAAGTAGCGTGTGTTAGTTTGTTATTAATATTTATTAATAGCGTGCACGCCTAACCCTATTTATATAGGGCCCTTTTGGGCCACGACGGGTGGTCATTCGTACGAATTCCCCACTTTGCCCGCCCACAAGTCCCCCACCCCCGAAGAATACGGGACTCAATGGGACATCATCTATTTAGGACTCTCTCTTTAGATCTAGCAAGCAGTTTAACTAAATCCATCCGGCGGGAAGACTGTTTCACCTGACGACTTTTTTTCTCTCGACAAATATATATATATTTTGTGCTTCTAGTTTTCGTTCGAAAAGTGTGATATGCAAAAAATGTGTTCAAATTTATTATTTATTTAGTGAAAATTGAAAGAAGAAAATTATGTATTAAAATTATTTGTTCTCGCGGAATATGTTATTGTGTTTGTTCAAGTTCCAAGAACATAGATTATTATCAGTGATATTCGCGATCTGTGATATTAATTCTAAATAGCAATAACTTTTACATTAGCTAATTTATAAACGGATATCTTCAAAACTGTGGAATATTACATCTTTCACTGAAGAAAGGGTGAGTTGCTCCTGTCAACTTTATACTTTTATTTACAATCATATTTTAATAGAAATACTTTTCAAAATCGACTTCTCTACTCCGGTCAGCTTTTAGGTAAAGTTCTCAAAAAAACTTGATTTCGATGTAAATATATGCAAAAACTGATTATTTACATCGAAATCAAGTTTTTTTTTGAAAATATTTTAGAAAATTTCGGAAAAAGTTCCTTGAGAAATATATCGAGACTTTTGGCCGCAATATTCTATTTACATATAAGTGACTTCTGTATTATAATACACTTGTGTGAATATCCGTGCGCGACAATCCATTTTTCTCAGTATATATAAAGTTTGAGAAAATCAGCTATTCTTTTCAAATTGTATATTTCTACTCGCCCTATACATCACACTGGGAAGAGAGTAACGTGAAGCGACGGAGGTGATCACGAAAGAAATGCTAATAGAATTATTGTCCGCATCACGTCCGAGACGAACATTACTGGCAACATATCACGTTTCCCAGTCCTGACAATAACATTCCTTGTCGAATTTTTTTTTTTGGTCTATTTTACAAACGCTTTTAAAAACGTACATAATGTATGCCACAAAGCGTTTTCTTTTTCTTCAAATTGAAAGATTGTTCCCCACCGATAGCATAATGTTTTTTCGGAAAATCTCTACCTTGTCTGTTACATATATTAGTTGTACCCCCAAAGTATCTGTATTAATGTTACAAAAATAGTTTTTGACGATTCGACTCAGTTTTGAAAAGTTTTAAAAATTTATTGATAATACTAAACGTAGTTAAAGCATTCATTTTTATTAATGTAAATATTAAAAAGTATTCTAAAACATCTAGTATTTACTTCACTGTAAAGGGAAGGCAACTTATTTTAAGATTTGTGGTCGCACTTCTAGTTTCGACAAAGTTATCAATTATTTTTTAAAATGCATATTAGTCACTTCTAAGTTAAAAACTATAAGTCAACTCAAGTTACTTTCTAAGTTAACTTGTAGAAGGTAACTTAGAAATAGAATGTGTTACTAAAAAGATATTAAAAATATGAGATAAAAAAAATATGAGATTAAAAATATGAGATGTTTTAAATATCTTAAAACTGATTATTACAAATGTACTTCGAGATCCTTCTTTTTGTGTTTGAACTTTTAATTTCAACTAATAAATACGATAGAAATGAGTTATATAATAAAGTTATATAATGCAAAGCTGCTGCAATTAAAACTGCGTTTTAATTTATAAAGCAATATTTTAAAACATGTCTTTAATTCATAGAGGCTAATTCCGATAAATCAAGTGACAACAACTTTATAGCAACAATATAACGAACACATTATTTGGATTCTAAAAGAGAAATAAAATACACTTTTTCGAAGTGGTAAATTTTTTAAAAATCAATCACTAATTTAATGACATACGATATTTTATTTTCAAAAAAGAAATTTTTGTTTCAAGTTTAACAGCATTATGTGATTGTTACAGAATTCAATGTTAATTTTTTCGACCACTTTTCTCTTAAAATATTAAATAAATTAAGCTAGTTTTTTGTGAATAACTCTAAAATATCATAAAGAAGGGCAGTGATGTGAAAAAGTTTTAATATTTTTAAAATTATTTATTAAAAAATAACTTTAAAATGATCAGTTCTCAAAATCACTTTTAATCAATTTCTCGTCTTTTCCGATTTCAAAGTATTTTTTATAATTTATTTTAGAATTATTAAAACTTTTGCACATCACTGCTCTTCTTTATTATATTTTAGAGTTATTCACAAAAAACTAGCTTAATTTATTTAATATTTTAAGAGAAAAGTGGTCGAAAAAATTAGCATTGATTTCTGTAACAGTCACTTAATTCATCTCTAATTTTCAAGAAATTCTAAATTGTAATAATTTAACTAAAATTAAATTTAACTAAAAACTTCATTTTTAGGACCCGTCGAATTAGGCACTAAATTCAACTTCTTTGATTAAATTTTGGCAATTGAAACATAAACTATATGAACAAATACTCTGCACTTATCTTATTTAAAATAAGAAACTTCTGCTCTTTTTAAAATAAGAATTTATTTATAACAACATGAAATAAGACTGCTAAAGGAAGGATCTTAAAATATACATTGTACTTTTAAGATTATTTAAAACATTTTATTTTTCGATCCCCTATCTTAAAGATCAATCTTGACTAAAACAATATACTTACATTAGTCCAAATATTAAATTTTTGATTAGAGCATTGATTTTAAGACCTGTATATCTTATTTTTATTGTAAGTCCAAAAATAAGTTGAATTTAAGAAAAAACACGTTTGAACTGTAAGTACTTTAAGACTTTGTTTTTATAATGTTGAAGTTTTAAACTATACAGTCTACCATTTCAAAAACGAGATATTGTGGTTTAAATTTCAAATCTCTATATCATAATCGCATGTAGAAGTTGAAGTTTGAACTTGAATAACTCAAAATTTAGTACCGAAAAGGATTTTGAAACTTCTGCCATATTTAAAGCGTATATACTCAAGGAAATAGATATTCTAAAAATTTGAAGAAAATTTATTATTGAAAATTGATTTCTTCAAGAGTATAGCAGCCGGTGAACCTCCTTAAGAATAAACTGACTTTAGTTTATCAAAATTAAACTAAAATTTTTAATGAAGGTGAAAATAACGCAAACATAACCTTAACACTCTTCTTAGGTATATATACCTTTCTTCGGAGCGCGTCACATTTGATTTTTTGTTAATGCGAAAGTTAAATGAAAAATTAGTCTTCCAAGGATTGCAATTTCTATATACTAAACTTTATAAAAGTAAAGTACTAATAGAGAGACATTCACTAATTTTTGTTTAAAAATATTCATTTGTTCATTTTTTATAAAGAATTGAATTTGAATGTAACATTTTTTCAAAAAATTTTTTTTTTCATTTTTTATTTCTCAGAAAAGGAATGTCGGATCTTGATGAAAGTTTTACACAAAATTAACGAAGTTTTGAACTTTTTAATGAAATTTATTTCATAGTTGAAAAAAACTATTTATTGTAAAAAATAATTGTTAATATTAAACAAATGAATAATAAAGTGTGTTCTGGATATTTTTCGTAAAAATTTTTATCAGAACCTTAAACTATATGTGTATAAATCAAGGGTGAAATATCTGAAAGAAAAAGTCGGTTGATCAAGATTAAAAATATTTTCAAGAAACATAACCTATATACAAATTATACTCTAAATTTGAATCAGTGGAATTTGACTAGGGGGTCGTCCATAAAGTACGTAGCACTTCAAGACTAAGGGGGGGGGGGTTAAGCTATTGTCTAGGATAAGAGGAAAAATTACGCTAGTACTTGTAACAGCGTCTACATTCTAAATCTGAATTAGTGAAAATTTCAGTTGTTTCGACTGATTTCTCAGTAAAATTCCACTGATGATTTTAAAAAAACTCGTCAGTGAAATTTTCACTGATTCAGATTTAGAGTGTACGTAGGGGGAGGAGTTAAAATTTCAAAAAAAATTTGGACTTTAGTGACTGAAACTGTTCGGTGTATAAGATTTCAAACCGAAGCTGTTTAGTAAGATTTCAACTAAATTATTCAGTTGAAATCTTGCCGAAGAGCATCAGAGCAGCTAAATTTCAACTTTTTCATTATAGTGAAACTCGGCACTGACTCAAATTTATTAGTGAGTATCGTTTCTCAATCTCGAAAATTATTAATCTTTCTTCAATGTCAACTTTAAATATGGTTCAAAGTGACAAAAATAAAAATTGCTCGCACACTTTCCCTTGAAATGTTTTTATAATTTATAAATTGCTTTTTAATTTAAATATACATATATACGAAATATGGAGTTGTGGAGAAGCAATCTTTAATTTGAGTATATATCCAAGCGTATTTTTCCCTGTCTTCATCTTCATAAAGTAGGTGTGTTTTGGGTCATCTAAGGCACCGAAGTGAGACGCTCATTCAAAAAGACATTTCTAAACGTGTTAGTAGCATGGCATTTTTTGCAGTGAAGGTCTTCGCCTCGCACCTCACACGTCAGTCACATAAATAAGTTATAAGTTTGGAAACATACGCCCAGGGGAGACCGGGCGTCATGGTTCATTTCAATTTATTCAAAAGTGAGAAGTCGAAATAAAATTGGTCTATTTGATAAAGACAACTGAAGATAATAGTTATGCTCGAGTTACTAAACAGATCAACAATTATTTTTCAGATAATGATAAATTAAATGTAATAAAGGCTTAAACATGATTAGTTTAAATTTACCTCTTAACCCACTTTATGCATTTTCGCACTTAAGACATAACAAAAATAACCTCTATAAGATTTTGGTTCGATATCATCAAGAGATTTTTGTAAGAAAACAAGAAAGACATTTTTCGGAGGTTATTGTATATTTAAATTTCGTGCTAATTAGGTGTTAATTTTGCTATCTACATCTGTTTTCAAACAAATCTTGATGCAAACGACACTATCTACAAAAAGAAGAAACAGATTTTTCAGGTTTTAGGGTCGACTAAGCATCGATGCGCATTTTCTGATAAAGATCTCTACTTCTGTTTGGAGATGAAAGACGCAGCGTGGTCAAAAAAACACTACATTTAACAGATGTGCTTTTCGACCAGGTCACACTGATTTTTTACCTGATTATTAAGCTCGAAACTTAAAATAAATTCTTTTAGCAAAACAAAATTCTGCATTGGTCGAAGATGAAAATTATTTTTCTAAGCTGTTGATGATCTATTCGGTCGACTATTTATTTTATCCAAACATATTTTAAAGATCTAAGATTTTTAAATTTGTAACTTTTTTACATTTTTAAAATGTCTTCTATACTCTCTGGGAAGTTTGTTTGTTCCAAAAACGTTCTTAAAACGTGTTTAGAACGTTTCAAACCGGTCAAATAATGTTCCAAATTATTTTAAAACCACAGTTTTGCTAAGGATATCAAAATGAGACAAAAAGCGTATCAAAACGTTGCTTCGCAACTATTTTGATATGTTTTTGTCTCAATTTGATATCCTTAGCAAAACAGTGACATGCATGTTCAAATAATGTTCTATAGAAAATTATTATTTGTAGCGGGCATGAAACATTCTAAAAACATTTAAGAACGTTTTAGGAACGAATATGATGGTTTTTTCCCAGAGGGTATTACACGATGGAGTTCTTGAAATTGAAAATTTTGAAATTTTAAATTATGATGTTTCATTCTCCGGTTGCTATACTCTTGCAAAAATCGATTTTTTCTCAATTTTTTTCAAATTTTTAGAAAATGTTTCTTTGCGTTCACTTTAAGAACTTTGCGTTGAAATTTGAACTTGAAGAACTCAAAATTTAGGATGGAAAAAAGTTTCAAAACCTTTATCACATTTAAAGCGAACTTAAAGTGACATTTTCTCAAAATTTGAAGAAATTTTATCAAAAATCGATTTTTTCAATAGTAGCAGTGAGAGAACCTCCTTAAAGTTTTTAATTATTCTGTATATAATGAATAAGTTTTGATGAAATAACAAAAGTTTTACGAAAAAATATAAGAGGAAAAAATATTTTTCATCTTAGCTGCGATTTCTTATACGTGCAGAGTTTTAATAATAATGATTTATTGATGACATTTAAAATTCATAAATTTATTTTAAAGATGCATGAATTTTTACTAATCATATTAAGTCTGCTATAATTATATATATAGAAATCTCCTTTTTAATAAAAAAAATGTTTATTTTAGTCTAAAAAATAGACTAAAAATAAACAGTCGTTAAAGATCAAAAAGCTCCAAAATAGAAAAAACCTATAATATTTTTGACGATTTTTCCATTATTTTCTAAACGGTCAAATATTTTATTAATAAAATTATAAAAAAGTAATGAATACAATTAATAAAATTATAAAAAAAAGTAATGAATATATTAGAAGCGGGGCTACCGCATTACATCTGCAGGGGCCGTCTGCAGAACAGATATAGTCATTTAATAGAAAATGCTCAAATTAATTGAAATGATTCTATCGGCCCATGAACACACGTGGGCCACTTTCCCCTAAGTATATATCTTCGCAATCTGTTTTGTAAATAAATGTGCGACACCATTTATTTCTCCTAATTTTCAGCCCCTTCCTTTCAATACCCCCTTTTTCACTACAAACATTTTTACTCACAAACTGTCAGACAGCAGAAAATCAGAGGGGTCCAAATTAAAACAGCTTTTCGTCCTCAAAACTCGACAATTAGTATTCCAAAAAAAATATCTTATAGAAAAAACAATTTTTTGTAAACAGTTTGCTAACTTAAGGTATTTGTCGCGTAAATTCGTTTTCGACAGAATTTTTTTAAATTTCACATAATTATTCTTTGGATATTTATCTACAAAATAAGGCCTATTAAAATAAAATTGACCGTCTGTAAGTCTCAAAAAATGAAATCAAAGTTTCGATTTTTAACATGTACGGTATAGGAAAACCATATGAAAACCAACGATTTTTAATTTTTGCACTTATATTAATCGACAGATTTTTTAGAAAAACTAAAGTTTTATTTATTGAACCAAAATGAACTTTTATAAAAAAAATGAAAATTTTTCACCGTCTTGTTTAAAAGATATTTAACATCAAACTTGAAAAATTATTTTAACATTTACTGTAAATGACAGGTGAATTTGTAAACGTGGCAATAGCGCTTGTTAAATACTACAGCTTGTCTGCTACTTTTGGCGCGAAATTTTAAAGACGGCCATACGCCAAACTTGCGACGTTGCCACGATCGTTTTTCATGCGAGAGGTTATGAATATACTTTGAGAACATCTGTGTGTCAAACTGTACGTCCGCAAAAGTTTTTCGGAAACTCGCATTCATTTAATCGTTTCATAAGTACAGTCAACGGATACAAACTTTTGATAGTGACCAGTCGCGCGACAAATACCTTAAAAATTATTATTAAAATTAAATGCGAAATTGATGAGGCTGAAGTACGCAACGTTTTCCAAAACAAAAAAAAATATAGTAACAATTTATTTTGGCTTCAAATTGATGTTATTATTCAGTAATTGTTCTTTAAGTAACCGCTTTAGTTTCTTAAAAATCTAAGCACATAGAAATTAGAGATGAATTTAACTTGAAAAAAATTTCTTTTTTTATTTTTCTATTGTCAAAATGTTGCGGAGTTTAGCTTCATTGAAATTGCATAGTTTGTTTATGTAGTTTTATTTTGTCTCATAAGTTTATTGAGGTTGTTGTGAAACTCTGTATACTTTGACGATTCTATATATGTGAAGAAAAACAAAATAAAGCTTACAATGTAGACGGGTTTCCAGAATGTGCGGTATTTATATATAAATAAGAGAGTTTTCGCTAAAAGATGATGTTTTTAACTAATAACTTTTCGATTAAGAAATTGTTTTCGACGCTAACTTCACAAGTGATGCTTCGGATTGTTTTTTTATGCAGGTAAAATAGTAAAATTTTGCGCTTTCTATGAAAAATAAGGTTTTCATTTAAGGTTGAAAACTGGGGAATTTTTCCATTTATACAAAGAACTAACCATGTTGGTATTGTTCCTTTTTTCCGATTCGTTTATGGTGCTGGGAAATACCTTCAGTCGTCGAGACGGACCTAATATCTTTTAAATGTCCTCCCGACTTGGAAAACCCGAGAATTTGAGGTTGAATTTCATGCAAAAATAAGTGTTAAACTTTCCCTTAGATTTAAGAGATAATGATATGAGATATTGATATTGAATGGAGATGATGTTTTTGAATTCAGGTGGAGAGCTGGGAATAATACGTCAGCAGGACAAGGAAGAAGCAAAAGCGGCATCGAAGCTGGCGGGGAACGTGAAGGCAGAGTTCAAGTGCAAGAGGGAGAGTTGGTGGGGGGAAAGTGGTAATAACGAGAGAGAAATAGAAAGAGGTTCAGCCGGGGCGAGCGGAGAACTGGCGGCTCGCCTTCAGGGCTACGCCATGGCAGGGTTTCTCAAGACGACTGTTACTGGCGTGCCGACAGGAAGTGCCCAGTATCATCTCCATGGTCACCCAGCTATGGGGATGGGCACACATCCGCATCCACATACTCATGGACATCCTGGAGGTCCTCATCCGGGACTGCCGTCCCCCTTCAGTCTGGCTACTCACGGCCATCCGCATGGCCATCCTCTCGACCACAGTCTTTCTGCGTTTCCCCAAGGTGAGTCTCTATTTATCTTTCCTAAATTTATTTATCATTCCTCTTATCGCCATACGGTTGTGCGCTCTTTGCCATACTCGTGCGCGTTACGTACCAACATAACCTTATCAAATTTATTTCCATCAGAACTCTACTATGTTTGTATAAAATGTCCCAAACATTTTTTACAGTAAAGTTTTGATGGAAGCTGAAACAAGCATCGAAATGTAATTTCACGCAAAAATGACTAGAAAAGAAAATATTTCAAGTCACCTATCCATCGGTACGAAACAACACTGTCTACCATGCATATATATACTTGAGAAGCCCCAACTTTGTTCCGTACATGTGTGGCTTCAGTCAATACATCGATTTCCCTTGTAATCAATAACATATTGTAAAAGTATTCTGCAAAGATACCCACTTATTTTTTCTTTTAATTTTATCAACAAAACCTAAGAAACGAATTTTCAACCGGAGCAACGTTAAATAAACTAATCCGCGAACTTTTCAATTATACATTACATATAAAGTATTTAATTGCATTCAGAGTATGTAATTTTCACTGTCTTCATAGGTTTCAAACAGAAATGTTTGAAAATGTTTGAAAATTATGTTTTGCAAAAATATAGGACAATATCCTGTTAAAAATCCTGTTAAAAATTTAACCAAATTCGGTGTTAAAATAACACTTTTTAATTTTTTATTTTCTGTGTATAACTTATGAAGCTGAAGTTTGTAAAGTTTTTAAAATAACGAAAACGCAAAAATATTGTGAAGATTTATTTCATTTTTGCTCCAAATTCATGGTATTTTTTATCAATTGTCTTTTAAATATAACATTAAGTAAGAATTTCTCAAAAATTTATGAAGTTGTGAAGTTTCTAACAAAACTGTTTGGAATTTCAAATAAAACTGTAAGAAATTTTAAACAAACCTGGTAGAAATTTCATATTAAACTATTTGACATTTTCAACAGAACTGTTTGAAATTTATAACTGTTTGAGATTTTAAACAGAAATATTTGAAATTTCATACAGAAATGTTTAAAATTTCATTCAAACACTCTGTATTATAATTTTCAAAAAAAAAATATTTTGAAAATTTTAAAGAAATGTGTTTTAAATTTGAATAAGAAAATTTGTATTAAATTTCAAAATGTGTGTTGTAAATTTTCAAAATTGTGTATGATAATTGCTTTAAACATTTTTGTATAAAATTTGGAACAAAAATTTTTAACAATGTTGAAAAAAATTTTCGTTTTAATAAACGTTGTGGACTTCAGCCTCATTTGTATAACTGAACTCAAGGGTTTAAATTACATCTCAGTGGAAAAAATACACCTCGAATTTTGGTTGAAAAAAATACGCCTCGCTTTTTATATTATAGTTTGAAGAAAACGACACGTCGAAAATATTTATTTTAAATAAATTTTCTTTACGCGATACTATACGTATAATGTAATTGTTTTATGGGTTTTTGTGTTAAGAGATTTATGAACACACGGAGAGAGAATATATATGAAATTTTGTAAAAGTATTTCCCATTTCTCTAGTTGCGAGACGATACTAAAAAAATCCTAAAGTTTTTAAATATTGTCGAAAAATTACCGAGATTTAAATTTAAAAATTTTTCAGAAATGATTTTCTTAAATATCTTAAAAGAATAAAAATAAACACAACTTAATGAATATAGGAAAAACGGATTTATTTTAAGCATAACTTCACACACACACTATTCCGTTGAAAACAACAAAATTGAAGTTATAGTAGGTGGCGCCACGTTCTGAATCACTGCGGTTCAAAATTTGATATAGGCGACGAAATGATTTAACTTTATACATCAGAAATGTTCAGGAGAATTGTTTGTCGTGTCCACAAGTATTTGAAGAGCTTTATTCCAAAATCCTTTCATTACCTAACTTTTATAAAGATTATGCAATTAAGCCATATCCCCTCTTGAACAATATTTAAGCTATAATTTGGGATTCGATTATATAATGTCACTGAACCTAAATACCATCTCAATTTTAACATGCAATTCTTAACATTTTTTTGCATCTTATTTTTAAAATATAGTTATTTTTATTTCTTATAAACTTTTCTTTTATAAACAGTTACGTTGAGCAAATTTTGAAAAACTTGATGATGCATTTTTGAAGAAGTCTAAAAATGTGATAAAGAAGAATGAAGTTCGTAACATTTTTAAAAAATTATATAATTAAAAAGAATTTTTTATCAAGTCACTTTTCATATTCAATTTATATTTACAAACTAGATATTAAATTTTAAATATAAATTTAAGCCCTTTGAGTAATTGAAACCCTTGAGTTTAGTTATGAAAAATTAGGTTGAAGTCCGCAAAGGTTATTAAAACGAAATTTTTTTCAAGTTACATTCATCTCTAAATTTCATGTGCATAAATTTTTAAGAAATTTTTACTTAATATACTTGAAAGACAAATAATTAAAATTTGAAGCCAAAATAATAAATATCGTCTCATTTTTTTCGTTTTCGCTTTTAAAAACATTGTGGACTTCACTACTTCAGCCTCATGAAGAACGAATATGTGATATGCAAAATTTTTAATATTTTTAAAATTAACTTATGTATATAATTGTTAAAAATTGATAAAAGAAGTAAGTTTATGTGAAATTTCGTAACAGTTTCCAAATATTTTATTATAGTTATCGACGCATAAGTAAAATCCTTTCTTTTGAAAAGAAAATTCTTCGACTTAGATTGCCTGACCGTTTATATTCTATATTTCTAATTGAATTAAATTTATTAGAAAACCAAAGGAATAAAAAAAGACAGAATAAAAGTATAAATGTTAATAACTGAAGAAAGTAGGATAATTTTTTGAAAATGATCTATGATACAATAAGCGGCATTGTACGCATGCAGCGTATAATGGTTATGGGGTTAGAAAACAATGGTAAGGACAAAGATTATTGGAAAGAAAGGGGGGCGGGCCCAGGGCGGAGCTCTAACAATGAGTTGCGGAGGGGGCGAAGCCCTGTAAAAAGAGAAAAACAAACAAGGTGAAGTTAACGAAAGTTAGGTTAGAAAGAATTCGACATGTAGGACCTGAAAACTAGGCCTGGATATGGCAGCACTTATCACTCTTCACACTTACTAAATGAGCTTTGCATAATAATGAGGCGTGTTTCCCGCCATAAATATCGGTACTATTTGGACCCTGATGCTATAAATTAAAACTTTACTTTTATAAACTGAAAATAAAAACAAAAAGCGTATTTCTTTTTTAAAACCAAATTATAAGCGCATATTCATACATCACGCGTATGCGGTCGCGCTTAAGGAATTTTTTTCATAGGAACATTTTTAAATGACAAGTCTCAAAACAGTAACAATTTTATCTCTGTACAATATTGAAAAATTATTAAAAATGTAAAAATCATTTATTTATTAATTTATAATTCGAAATACACATCAAAAACTTTTTTAATAAGATTAGAATTTCATAAAAAATAAGATTTTTGTAATTTGGAAGTTTTACAAATGTGTTAAAATTAAATTGTGAAGAAAATACTTAGTTTGAAAGAGGAAAGGATATAAGTCGAAGTTTGAATAAACTTTGAAAGTTTAAGGGCAGAGAAAATGTATTATCCCACACCGAGATCAAGATTGCGCCATTACAAGCCTGTTAATTTCAGCACGAGTTCTTCCGAGATAAAAAAAAAACATAAACGATAGTTTATGTATTTTTTATTGTATTAGACAAAGCGACTTTTCGTTTACTTGGTTCTTTATCATCATTATATACATTAAATTAAATTTTGCCACAGGTTAGAGAATTCAGAATAAAGTCAGGGAAAGTAGAATTGGGCAGGGAATTCAGAGGAAAATAGGAATTTTTATTAAAAATACTGGAAATATTAAATTTTAAGAATTCATAAAAAATTTCTGAATTTTTGTCTCTTTTGTCTGTCTCCTAAACCATGAAATTATCACGAATTTTAATAAAAACCTTCAATTTTTTCTATTTTTGACAATAATTTCTTTTTAAATAACTTCATTTTTCAAGAATTATCATCAAATTATTACTTAGAAATTATTTAATGAATAATTTTAATTCAATATTTCAAAAATAATTGAATTTTAAAAAAGTTGCGTTTACAATTTTTATAAATAAATCAACTTCAAAAGGTTTCAATTTGAAATTTTGGAAAACTTCAATTTTTAATGAATTTAATTAGAAATTTTAAAGAACTTTTAAAATAAAAATTTTAATGATTCAAATTCTTTTAAAATTATTTAAATTTTTAAAATTGTTTGATCTATAATTAATTGTGAAAAATAATGGATTTATAGAAGAATTTTCGTTAAAAACACTAAAAATTTAATTTTGGAGAAATTACAATAACAAAATTTTAATAACACTTTTGGCAAAATTTCAATTATTCTTCAAAATTTTTCTCAATTCAATGATTTTCAATATCTATATTTTTTTTTTATTAACTTTTCCAAAAGAATTTAATTATTTAAAACAAGTTTTGATAAAATTCTACGTAAACATTTAATTATTTTTATAAATAATAAAAATTTCACAGAAATTCAATTATTTACAAATATTTTTAAAATTTCTTTGCTTAAATTCCATTATTTTTATAAAAAATAAAATTTTTTACAGGGTATTAAATTATTTTCATAAATTCTAAAACTCATCGCAGAATTTCAATTATTTTTACTACAATTTTAATCGAATTCCTCGAAAAATGTAATTATTCTTAAAAATATTATTAAAATTCTTCGAAAGAATTTTATTATTTAAAAATTATGTCCCTAAAGTTTTAGCGTCGACGCTCAGCGTCAAAAACTATATTATTTTGTATTTTTAGTGATCAAAATCTCACTAATTTCACTTTTTTCATTCAATTTGAAATTTAAAAACCATCGAGTCTTTTTTTTACCAAGAACCTTTAAAACGATAAAACGATTTTATTAAAATTTTAGATAATATTTGAATTTTGAATAAGTTTCAAATTAAAATCTTTA